AAATTTGCTCAACAGTTTCATCGCATAGACTTGTTTTGTATACTTATGTCTTACTAACTGGACTTCACCGAAAGCCCCGCGACCTGTCATTTCATATAACAATGCATACAATTAAACAATACTTTCGCAAAACATTCACAATTAAAATTAGTTTTAAAACAAACCGATAATTTTAATCACAGAAAAGTCTTCAGGTTTTGATCGACAATTGATTATCATATGATTTGATTTTTCATCTATGGATACAATATTCAAATTATAAACACATGAAAAAATAATAAACAGAGATATTGTTTACATCTCTGAAGAAATGCCTCAATATTTTTGAGTCGTCTCAACGCCGGGTGATTACAATCAGTGACTAACGCCTGAACACAATCCTATGGTTTAAAAAAGACAATCAAATCAATTACAAGACACCATAAAAAGTGTATCAATGAGTGGCCATTCATACCAGTAATCCATCGACACTGAGCTCTGATTTGTGTTTCAAAATGTGTTCCTCGAGTTCGACGAGTCTTTGCCGTCGGTTTTGATCATTAATTGAATCCATTTTTATGTGTTTTTATATAAAAAATAAATAAATAAACTCTGAAAACAAATTCACAAGAAATAAAAATTAGTTATTTTATCGATAAAAGGCATTAATATTATCACTATTTGGTTGAAAAGTCATAACTCATAGAAAAACAACAAATTTAGACTAATTTTGTCGCGAAATTACAAATCAGTAATAAATTTAAAAACTATTTGTTTTGTAATAAAAGTAAATCCAATAATCGATTGAATGAATAAACTGTTGATTTGAAACGCGATAACACTTATCCGTACGGTTTGGACGGCATTTAAATTGATTGTCAAAACATTAAACACATTATAAAAGTACTGTTTGTTTGAAATGCGAGACAATTATGAGAAGTAAATGAATGGCAATTGAAAGCAAAGCAAACAATACTTTGCCATCAATTAGTGGTTAGCAAAAGATGTGCTCAAAAAGTGGTGTCAAAGTGAATGTCAAACAATAATTGTCACAAAATCTCGATTTACAAATAGTGATGAAAGTGACTGTAATTGAGTCGTGTATACAATACAACAGTAATTGCATCACAAGTTAGGAAAACTTAACTCAAATATAACTTCTTCATTTTTCATCAATTATTACAAAACAGTTATAAGTTATTAAAAAAGTTTTTTTAGGAATTAAAAGTTTGGAAAGATTTGAATTGATGACAAAATGATTGCAAAAAGACTTACATATTAGCTTCGGGTACATTGAGATTGATTTTATTGAGTATAATCTTGGCTTTATGTCCACTTCCGTAGGAGAGTTTGACGCGTTTCACTTCGACAGCAGTCCTCTGGAGTGGAGGAACACTTAGTTTGCGGTCATATGCGGGACGATATGAACACAGAGTCACTGTATTTCCCGCATCATCGGTGGCGTCTACTTGTGTCTGTCCAGGCATTTGTAGTGTCTGTCTGTTTATCTTTTTGATCAGTCAAACAATTAATGCCTAAAAACTCCGATTCCAAACACTTCTTTAACTTTGCAGTAAAGCCTATGAAAGCATTCAATGTATTGAAACTTTTGCGATATGAAAGCACATCACACTCTGAAAGCTAACACACAAATCATTTTCCTCATAAGTGAACACATATTTAGTTTACATTAGTCTATACTTCACACAAATTCGACTTTCACTCCAATGATAAACAGGTTTTAAGCGTTGGATTCGATACTAAAAAGCAATACATTTGAGGCGATGTCTGACGTATGAAAAGATCACTTTTTCTGTGAGTCTTGCCATCGAAACTAGCCGTGCGTTTAATAGATGGTATGTTATGTTAGTTAATACCTGTAGTATGCCTTCCCATATAGCGAAATAGCCTCAATAGCCTCGAGCCCATTATAATAGTGTTTCTGGGTTTGGGTTTTGCACACAAATTGTAGAATCACTGCTCTATGAATGAGACCTCAATCAGGAATTAATGGAAACCTGAAGAAACCCATCGCTTAATGCTAACAATTATTACATTTTTTGAAGCATTTATTTCTTTAAATAATTTAATTGTTTTCACTTTTACTTTTGATTCACTAAAACAATTAATGAACAAATATCATCGGTAGACCACATAACCACTCATCTTATATATGAGCTATTTTTGTGCAATATTAATGATAATTCTGTGAATTTATGGATAAAATTTAAGTTAATTAACTTTACTAAGAATTCAGAATAAAACAAATAATTTAATAAAATGTCAGTTAATATTATATTTCATGTTTTCAAACAGATTAAGAACTTTTAAGACTTTATTGAGTTTAAAAACATTAAGATCTCTAAAAATATCTCTTATCGAGAAATTCATACTTTTAGCAGAAATTATTTTTGTGCTCATCTATTAGTTCTCTATGAATACTATTTATCGTTATTTAAACAGAATTTATATAAACTTCAAATGAGTTGTTAAATAAAAATAAGACAAAACAAACATCTCTTTATTATATAAACATTACATAAAAATATATTTTATTGTTTTAGTCTAAATGTTGTGAAAAGAGTCTCACTTTCATTGATTTAAATTGTGGTGAAAATTTCAATAAAGTCAATATCTAAATGTATTTCAATTTATTGTGTAAAAAGTTAACCCAAAACAGATTTAATGATTATTTTATCTAATGTTCGGACAAAACTTTTGATTAGACGTCAATAGACTATAAAAAGTAAATATCTTTAATATAATATCTAATACTACAGTATATTTGCTAACATTGAAGACATGTGAAGACATGAATGCTCGCAAAAGTAATGAATTCAATACTTTTTTGATTATTTGTTTCGGTGTCTAAAAAATGGTTCAAATGCTTAAAATAGTTGTTCACAATTTGGATGAGAGTTTGAACACTCGTGACAACGATATAAGAAAATCTATTGAAAGTATTGTAAAAGAAATTTTTACGAATCACTTCAATATTATGTGCAAAACTTTATTTTTAGACCTCAAGTGCTCTCATATTCACATTACAACTAGTATTAAAATGTGAATTGCTTTTTACAACATATATTTTATATGTAAAGCAAAAAATCCCAACAAACATAAGTTTTTCAAAACTTTTTTCTCTTTATTTCTCGAAAAATAGTTTTCATAATAAAATGCATACAAAAAAAGTGCATTTTTGTGCCCAACGTTTGAGTGCGAATTGAATACACAAATAGCGAGAGATTTAACAAAATACACGTCTTTTTGTTAAATACGGGCGAAATTTAACATTCAATAGATTTGTTGAATCAATGAATTAAATGTATTTCTCATTTGAATGAATGGGAAGATTGTATTGAGAAAGGGATGGGAGAGAGAGAGGAGAGGCTGTCATACATAACACATATACTGTAGGAAAGGTGTGACCAATCAGTAGTCGATTGTATGACAAAAATGGCTGAAATGTGACGAAACACTCAAACAGTGATTTTGTTTTGTAGTTATTTTTATAATCAAAAATTTGATTGTTTTATTAAATTTGTGTTTGAAATCATTATTTTGCAATTTAAAGGTTTGTATGCATTGATTAAGTATTACATGAATAGTGTTGTTAGCGATTGCGATGACAGTCATGACAGGAAATGCATGTATCGTTCACTCAATACTCAACACAACAGATATTTTGAGAAAAGTGTGAAAATCGAGATTTTGTGACAATTATTGTTTGACATTCACTTTGACACCACTTTTTGAGCACATCTTTTGCTAACCACTAATTGATGGCAAAGTATTGTTTGCTTTGCTTTCAATTGCCATTCATTTACT